AGTCAAGTTGGTCAGCTGGGATTCGGCGTAAGTGACTTTGGGGCATATAAATTTCCTCAGCAAATAATATTATAAATTAATGCCGCAGATCTTGGGCAAAACTCGTGAGCTGGTAATCGATGGGCATGCGTTTGAGAAACTACCCAAGGATCTGTTTTTCGGCCAAGAAATCACCAACAAGCTCGAAATTATACGATTTACAAACGGTCTGTTGAGTGATCTGCCCGTGGAGACATTTCAGCCGCTACGAAAACTAAAAACTCTGGATCTGCATGGAAATCAGCTGGAGAATCTTAAGCGCAATCAATTTAAGAATCTGCGTGAACTGGAATTGCTGGACATAAGTCATAATAAGATCAAGAAACTGGAAGCGCAACACATTTCGGATCTAACAAAACTGGGCTGGTGCAACGTCTCGCATAATGCCTTGAGCGAGCTGAGCCGTGGCACTTTTGCCCGCAACTCGGTGCTCAAAGTTCTCAATTTGTCACACAACAAGATTGGCAAGCTGGACGCGAACAGCTTTCGAGGAATGCGCTTTCTGCGTCGTCTCTTCTTGAGCGACAATGCCATTACAGATGTGGGACGTGGCACGTTCGGCTCTGTGGCACGCATCGGCACAATTGATCTGGCGCGCAACAAGCTGAAGAAGATTGAGTATCAAATGTTTACTCAAATGAATTATGTGGAGGTAGGTGAAGTGAAAGAAACATTCGTTATTTTATTATTAACTAATATATTTCTAGGTGGTGGACTTGGCAGAGAACAACATAACGAAAATCGAAAAGAACTCGTTCAAGGACATTTACCAGGCCGTCATCAATGTCTCGCACAATGCCCTGGAGCTGATTGAAACGGCTGCCTTTGAGAATTGCATTAATATAACCAAATTGGATCTCTCACACAATCGACTTGCTAACTTCTCGCATCGGAGTTTCGATGAAACGACCTTCGCTACGGAATTTCAGCTGAGCTTTAACGCCTTTACAAATTTAGCACAGGTACGTTGGCTTTTAATGATAAACTGTATCGCTATGTCTAACTACATTTCTATTTTTAGATACCCATTCAAAATATGTCTGGCCTGCGCATCTTGAATGTCTCGCACAACAACATTACGGAGATACCCAAAAATTGTTTTCCCAAACTCTATGAGCTGCACACAATCGATGTTTCGCACAACAACATATCTCAAATATTCAATGGCGTCTTTCAAACGTTATTCTCCTTGCGCTCTATTGACTTGAGTTACAATAGCATGCGGGAGATTAAATCCTCGACATTTGGCACATTACCAACATTGCTGGAGATGAACTTGAGCCACAACAAACTGGTTAATATTATGCGCGGCTCGCTGGCCAAGCTGACGAGCATGCGGCAGCTCTATTTGAATAATAATCGATTGGAGAAGCTCTTCCAATTGCCCATCTCGTTGAATGAGCTGCATTTGAGCCACAACAACATCAGCTCCATACCCGCAGGCACTTGGCCCGTTATGAATTCCCTGATATATTTGGATCTCAGTCACAATCAGCTTGCCGATAATTTGGATGGCCAGAGCTTTACGGGACTGCTGGTTGTCCAACGTCTCCTGCTGCAGTCGAACGGCATCAGCAAGCCGCCAATGGAGGCGGTGGCGGTGATGTCAACGCTGCAATATCTCTACCTGGAGGTGAGTGTTGATGAGACTATAATTATAATAGCTATATAACTCAGTATACCTTAGCTGTGATTGTCTGAATGGCTTTTTAATTGTTATTATTAAATTCTAATTTATTTTTAAATAGTCATTAGAGAGACTTTAGAGTGATTTACATATAATTTGGTTTAATGATTTCTAACGTCACTTCCTTTTATTTTTTATAGTCATTTATAACTTTAGTATTTGTCTCGAACTGGTTTCAAGCATGATTCATCTGTTGATAATTACTTATTCAAGATCTATTAATTTAGTTAATTTAAACTTGTATTAGCAAGTTTATGTTTTTAATTTGTTGTTTCCAAATGACTAATTAGCAAATTCTAAACTTAATTTGTCATTTATGTCCTCAGCTGAACAGTGTCTAATAATTCTGAATAATTTATTTGCAGAATAACAACATTAGCGTGCTGGAGCGAAGCGCCTTTGGCAAGCTGCCAGTTCTGTTTGAGCTCAATCTCTATGGGAATCAGGTCTCGGATATTAGGTAAGTGCTGCGACCTGACACTGCAGTCAAACAGATGTATTTAAATGAATAATTCGGTTGCACAGCAAACGGGCGTTCGAGGGTCTGCTGCAGCTGCTCACACTCAATCTGTCAAGCAACGGGCTGAGACAGCTGCCAAATGATATATTCATTGGATTGCCATCGCTGCGCACACTCGACCTGTCGCACAATGCCCTCTCGAAGCTGGACAATAAGACGCACGGTGTGCTGGACGATTTGCTCAGTCTGGAGACACTTAACTTGAGCCACAATCGCATCAGTTTTGTGACCAAGAAGACCTTCCCATCCCATCCGTATATACCCTACAATCTGAAGTACTTGGATCTCAGCTACAATCAAATGCCCGTGCTCACCTATGACATAACCTTCGGCACGAAGAAGTTACTCAAGTTGAATGTCTCCCATAATCAAATTAACGAATTGCGTCGCGGCGTCTTATCGAATTTTACCTCGCTGCAATCCTTGGATTTGTCCCACAATGAGCTGACGAATCTGATGTCCGAGGAGCATATCTTCGATCTACCCAAGAATCTGAGCAGCTTGGACATTTCGCACAATCAAATCTATCATTTGCCCTTTGGCAATTTGGTCAAGACGCTGTCGCTGAAATACATTGACCTGCGGAACAATAGCCTGGAGGATATACCAGCCTCGCTGGTGGCCACCATGCACAATGGTAGCCAAGTTCTGTTGGCCGAGAATCCGCTGTATTGCGGCTGTAACGTGCGCCCGTTGAAGCATTTTATGCTGCAGCAGACAGCGCCTAGCGAGGACCTGAGCAGCGTCAGTTGCCAGACGCCCAGCTTGGTCAAGGATCAGCAGCTGCTGAACATCGAAGATGAATATCTAAATTGCAGGGAGGATGAGCTGGAGCTCTATGCGGGCAGCGAGTACAAACAGCTGACGGACGTGCGCTTTCGCGAGGTGCAAACGTAAGCTATAAATATTAAATACAAATGCACTAAATCAGCTGTAGCTAAATTCCTTTATTTTATGTTTAGCAATAAGGCGGGCAATCTAACCCTACGCTGGTTTGTCTCGGCCATTGCAGACGTGGCGGACTTTAATGTTTACATTCGCAGCAGCAGCAACGAGATTTTGCACCAGGCGGACTATGCCTACAATCAGCGCACAGCCGAAATACCCGTCGCCGAGCTGTTATCGCATGGCGAGGCGAAACTGGGTGGCGCCGAGATTTGCATTGTGGCCCGCGACAGCGACGGCAACACGCGCCGCTGGTTTGCCGGCCAATGTCAGGCGCTGCCCTCGCTCAAGCTGCCGAGGACCTTCTTTTTTGGCAACTTTAATGTGAGAGGATCGGGCAGCGCCACAAAGTCACCGAATACCTGCCTATTGTACATAGCTTTAACATTGTTTGTTATCCATATACAATATATACAGCAATAATAAATGCACTCGCGTATGCATACTGCCAGCCTGCACTGTAAGGACGCGCTCTGCTCTGACCTTACAGCTACAGCTGAACATGTGCGCGCCGCACGCTGTGCACATGTATTTGTTTACTTGGCCGTTGCCGTTGTTGTCGAAGCGCGCGAGAGAGAGAGAGAGAGTGGGTGTTTGGGTGTAGAACAAACGGGGTTCCCGTTGAGCACAATTGAGAATATGTTAAAGCCCAACCAGCTGATGCTTTCGAACTTTCATTCACAGCGAAAACACAAAAGCAAAGCGCAAGCAGCAAGCAGCGGGCAGCCAAGCGCCGCCAGTTCGTGCGTGTTCGGGCCAAGCGCTCGGCTCTCCATTCGGCATTCAGTTATTTGTGTTGTTTTTGCACGAGCAAACGTCACAGAATGACGACGACGCCGCTGGCAGCCAGTGTGAGCGCAAGGACTTTGAGCAAAAGCAAAGCTTGCCAAACAAATGCGCACTCGCATGCTCACGTTCTCAGCTTTAACTTAGATGACGCTTATAAGTGCGTGTACAGTGGTGGCTAGCAATGAAGTGCTCTGCTGTTGAAAGAGTGCAACTGTATATCTATTTCTATTCAGAAAATGGTTGGGTTCGTGCGTATACTTATTAAGACTCTAAGGAGTATATAAAAACTTATTTATATATGAAATAATGCATGTAGCTATAGGGTACGCACGTTAATTTAACAAAATTTAATAACAAATTGTTTAATTATATATTTAATAATGTCAGTAAAAATATTTTAACGATAATACTGTTGTCGAAAAATTACGTATACGCAATATTGGATTTCAATCTGTTTACAATATTATGAATTCACTTACTAATACACTATAAAAAAGATAATAATATAATATATATAATATAATAAAATAAATACAAAATATATATATATCATAATATTTCATTTTTATCCAAGCAAAACACCTGAAAATAAATCATAACTCCCTGCTTATAAAAAAATTTATCTAATGACAAACACTATCTAAATGGCGCTCTCTTTATCGCAGCGCGCCCACAATTGTTGGCCACCAGTGTAGCAGCACGTTCAGGACATGTGCACTTTCACTGGCAGCGAGCGCTCTCGTTTTCGGTGTATTGTGCTTTTTAGTTTTGGTGACTTTGCGCTGCTTTTGCATTTGCGTTGGCTCTATGCGGGTGTGTATGTGCGTGTGTGTGTGCGCTTTTGTTTGTGTGTGTGTCTGGTCTGTGTGTGTCCTTATCGATTTTCAGCGAAATTTCACAGGCTCACGGCGCACGTCAGTGCCAAGCGAAGATTCACTTGTCGCGCTGAGTTCGTTCGTGTCGTGTTTCGCACAGCACAGCAGCAGCGAGTAACAGAGTACCAGAGTACCGTTATGTAAAGCGATTTTCAGTTGAAAGTACACATACAATAAGTGAAACGCTGCTGTGAGCAAAACTAAACTAAGCTAAGCGCCACTCTCACGCACACACACATTCCATAATTTGTTATAAATCAATTGATTCAAGCAGCATTGTGATAAACGCAGCGAACGTGCAAGAAAAACGCGCTAAGAAATCTACTTCACAATACTTAACAAAAAGCTAATCGAAACACGCTGTGCTCAACTGTGCCGTAACACGGGACATTGAAAATACGAAGAAGAAGCAGAAGCGAACGAAAAAAAAACGTTCCAGGTAGCAGGCGAAGGAGACATAAAAAGCGAAGGCGCAAGCGAAGACGAACGAAAATGTAATAGAGGTCAAAAGAAGCATTGATTTAACGTGCACTTTCTTCTTCTGTTCCATTTTCTTTATATGATTCGCTTGCGGTTTCTGTACGCGTGTGTGTGTGTGTGTGAAAGAGTCAAATTGTGTTGCGTAAAGAATTTGTTTAACATTTAACGAACGCTAAACGGTTCATTCAATAAAAGCACACATGCACACGGTAAACCTCTGGGTGTGTGTGTATTGTTAGTTATATGCATGCATACATACATATATATGGATATATGTATGTATGTGTGCATGTATATGTGTGATTCTATGTGTGTGTGGATGACGAATTACCTCTTACTTACATATGTCCTTCTTTTTTGCCAAATTTTTAAACGACGCAGCTAAACTGAGCGCAAGTGGCATATAACACAGTTCAATATAACAGTAAACCAAGCATAATTACATAATCAAATAGAAAAAAAACGAAACGAAAACAAACAATATAAGCTACAACTAGATCAAACTTCAAGTGCAGCATTACTTAATCAACGACCCCGGAAACGCCTAAAAGCAAACTAAGAAAAAACCACAAAACACCTTAAAACAAAATAACCAAAAAACCTATGTACCTGCAACAAAGAAATTGAGCAAATACACAAATACATAAAAACACTCTGACACACACACCTACGGCAAAGCGCAGCAATTATAAGTATTTAACAAAATTTAGCAAGAACAAATTACTTTTAAAAATATACAACAAAAAGGAAAAACAGAGAATTACAAAAACACTCGCTACATACATACATACATACCTATATATAAAGGAAAAGTGCTATAACATATATACAATACAATTATCTATAGAGGCGTTATATACGACATAACTATTACCTATAAAACAAAAAAAACACTCACACATATAGATATATATATATATGTGGTACTTATATAAAAACGTTATGCGATTCGTTCAGCAGTGAATGAAATAACTGATATAACTAGAGCTATAGCTAAAGGAAACCTCGTAGTTTGTAGAACAAGCGTCTTCTTCATGTAGCAAAATCAAATTAATTATATATACATATATATGCAATTATATATATGTAGTATTAATCGCACTTAACGACTAAACTAAAACTACCAAGTAGTTGCCTCTCTCTCTACATATATATATATACAAATTGCATAGAATATAACTAATTATATATCTGTATATGTATATGTATGTGTATGTGAAAATGGATTTATTTTTATAAAGCCGCAAAAACGAAACTACAAACTCCAAGAATTACGAAATAAACGCACTAATTAAGGACGTGCAGGACGACAAGGACGCCTACAAATTCGCCTCGCGTGCTGCTTGTGCAACTTTTATAGCTTATATTTAGAGATATATCTAAATATATATGTATAGATATATATGTATACCTGTGTTTGGGTTTCTTGCATTACGCGCCTTGACGTAACTTCAGCACAAGCCACGCCGCGCCACGCCCCACGGTCGCCCGGCCAACCACAAGCGGCCCGGTTACCCCGAAATTGAAAAAAGAAAAGAAGAAAAACCCGGACCACAATATAGCCACATATATATAAATATATATAGATTTATATATATAACGGTAACACCATAACGCCTTAACTTAACTCACAACAATTTCCAACAAGCCATTAGCGAAGTAGCATCGCAGATAATTCGTTGCGTTCATTGAACTTTGAACACGAAGACAAAGAGGAAGACGGAAGAGTAAGAGGAAGACGAGACCAAAAACCAAAAACTAAAAGAAAAAGGAGCCGAATCGAAGCAGATAGAAATTCAATTTGTATTCTTTTGCCGTGGCCTAGAAAAAAGTGATGCTAAATAGTAAATTTATTATAGCCGTTCTTTGTGATATTCTAAACATATGTATATTTAACGATCTTAAACGATAAACGATAAACACAAATAAATAATTAATTAACCGTGTGTGCTCTCCGCCTGCTGCCCACCATCCTTCAGTTTCGCCCGCCCCGCCTATCATCGCCACTAACAACTCCACCTAAAACGACAAACAAATAACTAAAACAACGGTATCCCTTAGAGTATATAAAACGACGTCTATAATCCAAAGTACAAAAGAACACAAGAAAACACGAAAAATCTACATATAATATACTATATTGTAGGCATATATATACATGCATATATAGATACAAGTCAAATAAAAATAGCAACATATGGTATTAATATATATACTCAGTAGACAAATACGTTAAACATAACCTCAAAACTCAGCATTAGCAAGCGCCCAACTGAAACTCAACCCAAAACTCCAGTTCCAATTTCAATTCCGATTCGAAAGCGAACCCAACCAGATCCATAAGCAATATAACTAGTGCTGTTAACTATTTTAGTAACTACATTTTAGACAGTCAATCTACGTTACTTAACACCTCCAACTATAACCCACCAAAGACAGACACGCACACACTCAAACACACACACGTACACATACACAAACCCAACAGAGTTTAGCAAGTGAAATAGTAGAATAATAAGAGCAAATAAAAAGCCGCTAAAAACGTTCAGCATGCGGCCGCTGTGAGTGAGAAAGACAGAGACAGAGACAGTGTGAGAGAGAGAGAGAGAGCGAGCAAGCGAGAGTGAGAGTGAGGGAGTTAGTGAGCCAAAAGAAGTTATCTAAGCAACAACGAAAAGCAATTATTTTTGTTTATGTGTTCGTATATGTCGTGTACTTGTATTCTCGTATTAGTTAATTCTCAAAAATCGAAACGCAACTTGCGCCCACGCCACACACACTGACACAAGCGGCAGTGAGAGATAGACAGAAAGAGAGAGAGAGAGAGAGAGACAGACTATACACCTAAACAAAATTCACACACACACACACACAAAGATACACACTACATAGGCACAGAGACACAACCTCGATTACCATATGCAGCAAATACACCATGATAAAGTCGAGCATTGCGACAGGCCTAACGGGTTGTGCTCTATGGCAATAATAACAACAACAACACTCACAACAACTACAGCAACAACAGCAACATCAGCAGCAGGAGCAGCAGCAGCAGCATAAAAAACTCAACAGCAACAGAGTGTGTGTGTGTGAGCGCGCGGCTGGTGTGTGTGCGGCTGATGTGTGTGTGTGTGTGAGTGCGAGCGCGCGCAATTTAATCTGAGCAGAAGGCAGCAACAAGGAGTAACAGCCGTGGCATAACGGCATTACAAACTAACGAAGAGCGAAAGTAAAAATACACAATTTCACCGTTTCCATGCAGAGGAGCTGCGTTCGCTGGGCGTTTGTAATAGAAAATGCACGTTAAACATACACAGCGCCGAGTTAGCGGTCCTGGAGCCTTCGGAACATTTACCAACGATCAACGGTATGCAATTACATATGCATATATATGCATAATTATTCTCTTGTATTTCTTTGAGATAATTGTTGTTGATTAAACGTATACTTGTTACATTAAATTACGTTGCCTTACGTTACGTTGCGTTACGTATACATGAGTGTACATGTGCATGTATGGATTTATGTATTGTATTATTATTATATTACGTTACATGGCGTTACGTTTCGTTGCGTTACGCTGCGTCTCGTTGCGTTGCTTATTGTATACATACATGTGCATGACATTACGTTACGTTACGTGGCGCTCCGTTACGTATCGCATACAAGTGTATACTCGTGCTTGTATGTATGTACGTATTTATGGTATATTTGGTATGTTTGGCATTTTGGGTATGTGTGTGTGTGGGTGTGAGTGCATGCATTTGGTATGCGTGTGCGAGCGTGTGACGTTGAGGCTGTGCTTATGGGTATGAACGACCTAAATCCCAACATTTCATCAAATATTTAGGAAAAAGTCTGCTTATCAATAATATAGTAGAGCTGGTACGTCCTGAAGCCCACGCACACAGACATACCTTCAAGCATACCTGCCCGCATACGCATGCATACATGAATGTGTGCATATTAAAATATATATGTACATACATACGTACACACATACATATATGTACATGAATGTATTACCGTTTCCGTTTCATTTCATTTTCAGCATTCCCATTCGTTTGTGTTGTTTGTTTCTTTTGGTTTGTTTGCTGTGTTTGTTTGTTCGTTCGTTTGTTTGTTTGTTGATTTCTTAAGTTAAACTGTTGGCATTGTTGTTGTTGTTATTGCTGCTGTTGTTTATCTAAATGTCTATGTGTGACTGAGTGTATGTGTGTGTGTCTGCTACGATTTGAAAGCTTAAATTTGAAAGCAAATGAAAGCAGCTTTTTAGGGTCAGTTTGTTGCTGTAATTACTTATGGCTATATAAGTGTATGTGTGTGTGTGTGTGTGTGCTTGTGTGTGTTCAAGTTTCACTTGTTCAATATTCTTATTTGATCCCATTTTGCTTATTTCCTTTGGCTTTTTCGAGCACAATGCAACTGATTTCCGTCCATTGAACGGTCCACAGAGGGGAGGTGGGCGGGCGGGCGGTCGGGCAGCGTTAGTCATCCGTCACTCAGTCAATGCAATTACGAAACTAGATTAAAAGCCAAGCGGCCAGCACAATGGCGACAATGGCAACAACAGCAACAATGGCCAAACAACAATGAGCAACCGTTCGAAAAATAGTGTCAAAGTACTTTAAGTGCACTTGTATGCAGTGTGCAAAAAAGCGTTGCCTACACACAGGCGCCATTCAATTACTTCTTTAGTGTACCAGTGTGTGTGTGTGTGTGTAATTGTGTTAGCGTATTTGTATGTGTGTGTGTGTACATGTACATGTCCAACGACAACATCAATGCAGGCAACGGAAGCTTTCGCTTTTACTTCAATGATTAAAGCACTGACCGAATTTCGGCTTACCCTGCCATGAGGCGCCCCTGTACATAGGATTGCATATGTATTTGTGTCTCTTAGTATATGTGTGTGTATTGATAAAAAAAAAGGGCTTGCTGTCATTATTGTTGTTGCTCGCACATTGTAGCTAACACACACACACACACACATAGAGTGAGATAAACAGTTTTGTTGGCATTTTTGTGTAGGAAGCTCGATGTTTCCAATTGAACTAGTTACAGAATTTTGTATACTGTTAACAGCTGCACATAGCAAGTACATACACACACCCACACACACATACACAGATACACAATCACATTTGTATTTGTATGTGTGCCATAGACAGATTCCGCAAAACTTTTCCAGTTAAACAAACAAAACTTGACTTCGTGGAATCTGACTATTAGTTAATTAAAACTTATTTATTTTATTTTAATCCCATTCTTTTTTTTTTCTTTTGTTTCCTTGCTATTCGTTTCCAGTGAATATTTATATTGAAAATTATGTTTGTCATTGTTGTTGTTGTTATTTTTACAGAAAACTTGCTTAAAAGTACAAAACTTGAACAAAAAAGCAAAAAAAAAAAAACCAAAACAAAACTTTAAATATCAAAATAAAGTCGAAGCGCTAGCGAAACAAGTTTCGCAGAAAAGAACAAAAATAAAGAAACAAAGTGAAATCGAAACAATCAGCGTGAAACACTCGATTCCGTTTCATATTAACGCTGTGGAAGCCAATTTTTGCGTACGTACTGACATCATCAGTGAAGGTACTCACAATTTCAAATTGCCTCTCTCTGCCTCTACCTTTCAACTACTCTACTACTACTACTACTACTCTACTTTAACTACTACTAACTACCATTACTACTACTACTGCTACTACTAGTTATGTACTAACTATGTACTTGCTACAGATTGTCCCACAACACGTTTTAAATGCTATTTACTTGCTATTCCCTAATCCCCTACTGCAAGCTACCCTAGAACTAACTCTATGAGCATAAACAATGTTTCTCGTTTCAATGAATTATTCTAATTAATCATAAATAGTTGTATAAAGCACTCAGCTATCCTACTCTTCTTCTTCCTCCTCCTCCTCTGCTAATGCATTCCCTTAATATTATTGTTTGTTTTTCTTAATATATTTTATCAAATCCCTTGTCAATGAACTTTATATATACATATATATATAGAGAGATAAATACACTTGCTCGTAAAACCCTGATCAAAAATCGCAAATGTAAAATATATATATTATTTTATTATTATTATTAATGCTCGTGCAGCGCGTATTTTTATTGAATTATTAAATATATATTTGTTATCTTAATCGACATATAAATCTGTCCCTCTTTCCGTCTCTGTCTCTCTTTTCGATTTGTGCAAAGAATCTATTTATATGCTGCTTCCAAGAATATTGTTTTTCGAAAATATTGTCTGTTTGTAATAATATATAAAACAAATTTTTCCAATTTTTTTATACTAATATACAATTTATTTTAAATTATATAAAAAATATTGTATAAAAATGAATAAATATATGTAATAAGTATATTTATTTAAACCAAATCTATATAAAAAATAATTAACAGATAAAGTACAGTCAACAGATAAAGTACAGTCAACAATTAAAATATAATTATATTATAATGTCTTTTGACTTGCAAAGACATGAAAAACTTATAAATTTCGTTTCAAAATGTAGAGTTTGAAGAACTAAGAGCTTTAAAGTTAATTGAAACACAACATATTAATATTAAATTGTATATTATGAACACAATTCAGTACAGAAATAATATATTTAATTAGCTGCAAGAGTATTTGGACATCGGCATGTTCGATGTTGGCTTATTCGATTGTTAAGGCTTGCTTCTGTGCCCGTTTGTAATCGAGTTATGGGATCTACCTGCGACTGTCTGAAGTAATATACATGTACCTGTATATATACAAATGCTTAAGTACCTATATCTCACTATAATTTAATTTTAAGATCAACGACATTAATTTTGAATTGGCATGACGTTTGAGTATGACGTAGATTTATTTTCAGCTCAATTCTAATTGCAAATTACGCTCGAATAATTAATGTTCGGCGTGCTGGAGTCGCTTTTGCTTGTCAAAATACACAGTACAAAGATATATATACATATATGCGTGTATATATAGCTGATGAATCTTTTTATGAAAGCATTAATTCACTGCGTGTTCTATTATTAAGAATTATGACCTATGGCACAGCATGGCTGAAAATATCATATTAATTACAGTTTTGACAATGGGCAATTCAGCATTGTGTCTACTGTGATTGGTCCATTGTCTATCCGGTTTAATTTGGCTACAGATTCAGATAGATATACATATACATAAATATAGATGATGGCCTGTTGAAATTTAATTACATTTCAAAGTACTACGACAGGTATTGCCCGCCTCCCCTCGCCGCATTGTTTATTTGAGCGATTGGCAGCTGCATTGATTTTCATTTGAATTCGCCTTTTCAATTTACAGCTGCAATAATTTTCCATATATAAATAAATATAGCTGCCTATTTCGATTCCTCAAATATGGCAAAAGTTCAAGAAATTATTATTTTTGCTAAAATTAGAGCAGATCAATTGTAAAATTCATAAGCGGCACACGCTATAACAATTGCACATAGGAAAATATTTGTATATAGATACATGTATGTATATAGATATATAAATATATATTTCGTTCTTTCTATATAAGTTTTTATACACTGCACCCATGGAAAATCGGAAATCAGGGTATAATGGGTTTGTTGTCATGTTTGTAATAGGCAAAAAGAGGCGTGGTAGAGCCCATACTGTAAATAAATATATGTCGTGAGCTGTCCGTCTGCCTGTATGTATGAACGCGCCGTTCTCAGGAGCTGTATGAGCTAGAGTATTGGAATTTAGTTGCAGGACCTTGTATACCAACCGCAGATCGAGTTTGCTTTTGGAAAATCGATAACTCTTCCTGCTTCAATGTTATCGATTATCACAAATCAGTTATAGAGGTATATCTCCTACATCTTTAGAGCTAGAGTCGCCAAATTTTGAATATAATCTTATTAATTTTATATAGATTCATTGAAATATCAGTTCTTCACTGGCTGCAGGGCATCCCGTAGTCGCGCCGTCCCGTTTTGAGCTTTCTGACTTGTTATTGTATATAAGACACATTTAACCGCCGCCTTGTGCCGTTGCACTTGCTGCTGAGGGAAATTGATATAATTTCGATAAACAAAATGGAATGCAATGCAACCGCCAACCGCCAACCACCAACCGGCAGCCATCAAGCTGCCAGCCGTCAGCTGCTAACTGCCGGGTCCGGCGCAATTACGCTTTTCGAATTTACGCTTAATGCCTTCAATTGGCTCTTGAATTAATAATTGAGTCATATTGTGTTTAAGAAACTGGGTCTGTGTGCCCTCTACCAGCTAAACGCATGGGATTGCCCGAGGATGGCAGCACGTGCTCACTGGTGAAGGAACACCCCACACATCCCACGCCCCACTCTGCCACACTTGTGTCTCTACAATGCGCCAAAGTTGACATTGGAGCCGGCCCAGCGAGCAGTCAATACAATTATCATGGGCAATGGCAGCCTTGCCAATTGTTTGCAGGTTTTTGGAAGCTGCTCGAGCTGCCGCAGGGCACATTTGTCCGCAGCGCTCTTGACGATGCGAAATTCGAGTGCTTCAAGTCCCAATTCAAATCAAATTGACAACAGCCAAAAAAAAAGCTACAAAAAAACCTGTCTGAGGCGTTGCTTTCCCTTTGATTTCAGTCAGCATCTCAAGTTCGACTTGAAAGCGGATTAACGTCTGATTTATCTGCAGTCATTCGTAACATTTTTTATCATTTTTGTTTTTTTGTCTGCTGCCTCTCCATCTGTTTGCTGAAGGGCTGTCGTGTGCACAATCATTACGCTAATGCATCACACACATTGCATAGTTTCTGAAATTTCCAATCAAAATCCAAAGTTCCAACTCCGAAAATGCATATTCAAAATTGAGATAATTGCATTTGGTGCACATGGCGTGAGCGCTTAATTGAGTGAAATTGATTTTAGTTTGCTCAGCGATTGCGATTTGCGATTTACAATTTACAATTTACAATTTACAATTTTTGCACTCAAACTGTCAATAGAAAATGTTGCACAAATATTTGCATTGGCCCAACGAAATTGTGTGTGCGCCGTGTGCCGCTTGCGTGCCAAACGAGCTGAGATTGCGACTGAGCTAGAGCCACAGAGACAGCACCATCAATAGCACCAGCACCACCAGGGGCAATGGCAGCGGCGACTTTACTATCTGAAAGTAAATGAATACATGCATATATACATAAATAGTTATATCTATATAACTCTTTTGGAATCGTTCTTCTTTTGTTCGCATATGAAATTATGCATTATGCATAGCTAAAAAAATATAATATATATAAATACACAAATGCTTTACAAGCACATTTTTGCTGTCTACTGCATCACGTTAGCCCAGTGTGCACAGTGGGCCTGACTTTATTTAAAAGGAGCAAAAAAATTTGCTGCTGTTAAAGTAATATTTCATGGCAAATGCTTTCAAATATAAGAACTCTTTATATAAATTTAAATACATCATAATTAAATGATATTTATATTTTAGGAAGAGCAGAAAACAATATAAAAATTGTAAATATGCAAAGGAAATACTTGAGGCTATGATAATGATATATATAATTCTAAAAATGAGAAACATGTCACATAATTTATTAAATAAACTTAATTTTCAAAATATAAGATTTTTTATATCATATAAACCACGGCTATAGGTCTTAAAAGAACTTTATAGATTATAGAATTTTTTTTTTGGTAGAAATAATTCATTTTTAGTTTTTCTTTAAGAGCTTCAAAGTGAGTGTCAAACCAAAAATTTATATATTTAAAATTTGTATTTTTCAATGCATTATATTTGCAAAAAATTTTGTTCCTAAAATGTACTAAATATTTTATAATTAAAATAACAACGCTTTTTTTATATATTATATATTTATTTTATACATTTTTATATATGTGTATATATTCATACTAAGTGCTTCATAATCTAATGCAATATAAATTTTAATACAATTTGTTTATAATTATAAAGATCTTAGATAGGCTCTAAGCTTTCAAAGAGGAATCAAAAACAGTTTACCTCTACTTAGCATTAACTTAGTTTGTAATATTCTGGCATATTTGTTTAGAATGAGGTTTGCGATTGCACTCCATGGAATATTTTTACTCCATTTTCTATGCATTAGCACCCACTGCAATATGGATATGCATATGAGCTTGTATATATATTATCTGCTTGCCCAAAGAGTTCAGCGTACCAAACAATCAGATACCAGAGGCCAGATACTCGATACCA